TTATCGCTCTAATATCGGTATCGGAAAGTATATTACTTTCGTTCTCATCACATCGGAGATAGATAGATAGATAGATAGATAGATAGATAGATAGATAGATAGATAGATAGATAGATAGATATGTAAAAATTTGAAATAGTGTATATCTGTAAAAGGACAATATGAATAAAGACAAATGGAAAACTTATCTTAGCCGACACATTTCGTCCTTTGTGTGACTTTATCAAGGCAAATGCAAAGATTTTATTTTGTAACGTGTATTTATATACAAGAGCAAAAATGTTATTAGTTTTTCAGCATTTTTGAGCTTAGGAAAGCTCAAAAATATTCCTCAGCTTAGCTGAAACTTCAGGCCAGATACAAAGGACACGAAGTGATACAATTCAATGTCTAATAAATGAAAATGAGTCAGTGATGTTTTAGAAAAATATTTTGTATAAATTAGTATTTAAATTAGTTTAGTTTGGGGTTAATTTATGTGTCATATAATTTGAATAACACGAGGTCATGTGTTTAACCGTTTTCTTTTAATTTTTTAACACTTTTGTAGTGGGGTGGTAGCACCTGTTAGGGTCCCAGCTATGGGCAAATTGCGAAACTCCAAACAAAACACTATGAAAGTATAAAAATACATTTTTATAGTAAAAATACCAGCAATACATTCTTACATAAAAATTACTAACAATACTTATTTATAGTAAAATTATCAACACTATATTTTATCAGTCGTTGAAGGCATACTTTTGCGCTCAAAATATATTTAATTGAAGCCATAAAATTGTGTTCAAAATATTTAGATTTCGGCATTAAATAACAAATAGAGGTTGATATGCCACTAAATAAGACCATCCAAACCAACCAAAAATTTTTGTAGTCACGTATCTTGTCTTGGGAAAGTAGTAATTCTTTTCAGAAATGGAGATCTTGGAAAAAATCCAGGACGCAGATTTATATTTTGATAAGATTCGATAGCGGCATTCTCGAGAATTGCTGCATATAGATCTCTTTTATGTTCATAGATACGTTTTTCTAATTTCTGCAAGTTTCCCCAAAGTATAGTGAGGAACAGTTCTGGCAATTTATTTTATATATACCTGCTTTAGAGTTATTATTGTTGTGGGTATTTTTGGTCATATCCATAATAGTTTTGGATGAGGATCTTACGTGAATACCGGACGCATGTCAAGCTGATCTGTTGAGCCTTTTTTAGCTTTCATGAGATATGAGATTACAAGATCCACCATTATATCCTTGTTAACATCACGGACGCTTCACCTCGGCTGAGTCCGTGATTTGCTAATTCAATCCTAGACGACTACTGGCAAAGTGTGCTGTGGTCCGATGAAACATAGTTCCAGTTACTTAATTTTGATGTTGGCGTTTGTACGTGACACAGACCCGTGAAGCTATGGTAGCATAACAATTTGAGGTATGTTCACCGGGCATGGGTTGACTCTATTGGTTCATTACGTTGATATACCTCGTTACAATATGCAGGCGTCTATGGATTCCATGTAACCTAACAACGATGGGTTCTTTCAGTAGGATAACGCACCATGTGATGCGTCCAATTTAAAACGGATTCTGGTGATCTCCAACGAATGGTGCGATCACTACATTCTCAGGAGAGGAACCCAGTTAAGCTTTTATGGGACGTGGTGGAAAGCTCTATTCACACTTCAGATCATATAATTACGAATATCAGAGAGTTCTGGACAGCTATCATGGTTTTAATATCTCCTCAGACTTCTTTCAATGAGTCGTGGAATCGATGCCACGTTGAGTTGCCAAATCTTACCATGCTTTCTATTTTTCGTATATTTACTGAACTCATTTCCTACCCGTATGTAAGTGGTTTGGCTCCCACTATAAGTTCGGGATTATTCCAATATCTTTCCTAAAGATACCCTCGCTTACTTAGCAGCTGTTTCTGATGTATTTCATCAAAACACTTTTGCTTAATCTATTGTTATATAGGAATAAAGTGTCGCTGCCGACACTTGAGTTTGAACATAGATCGCCAGTGAGCAAACACAGGCAATCCCATTACTGAATTAAGTAGACCACGTGATCATAGAGGAAACGTATATATAGGAAGTCACGTGACGTCTAAATGATCGCTATTTCTACTCTATCCTCTATTACTATACGGACCGCTATTCTCTACTCTGTTCACGATACTGTTTCTATATTCGGTTCACTATACAGGTTATTTGTCGAGCGAGTATTATCGAGAAAGTACTATTAGTACGAGTGTTATTCGAAGTCGTCTGACACCAGTATTGTTCAACGCCGTTACTATTGTTGTATCTGCGATTACAAAGTCTCTACTACAACGTGCATTACGAAAGTGACAACGAGTATTCGTTGGCATCACAAAAGTGGCATTGTGTGTTCGTTGACATCACAAAATCTATAAAACTTAGGTATACAGTGTTCTGGCATTTTATCTTCCTAGGTGTCGGAGCGGTGACACCTGCTGTTCATGTCTTCCCCTACCAGACGAGGGATGACTTTGCTTATTATGATTAGCAAGTTTATTTCAAAACCAATTTGGTATATTGTGAAGCTAGTCTAACAGTCACCGGAACAAAGTGGAATCGAAGAGTCGAGTTCCAATTCCAACCTAGTCTGCATCGCTCACATTAAAATGTCGTTGGCAAAGGCATGAAACCATCTCTGTTTTAGTAAAAAGCTGAGGACTCAGGGAACCCAATAACTGGACCTCAAATATATATATATATATATATATATATATATATATATATATATATATATATATATATATATATATAGTATATATGTGTAGTATAAATAGGCTATGTCTATGGAGAAAGGATGTCCAATATCGGGAGTAAAGCTTTTATAGATGTAGACATTTTTGACGTAGGAATCAGCACTGAATTTTGGCCCAGTTTCAGCTATAAAGTGATCTTCAGACCATACATATATATATATATATATATATATATATATATATATATATATATATATATATATATATATGTGACGTCACACACTACGAAATGGACAAAGTCTGACAATTACTTTAATATATTTTATTGTTATACGTTATTTATATAGACACAAATATTTAAGTAAATGCTCTCTGTTTATAACAAACAATATTAACAATATTCGGGCTGGTTAATGTTGTTAATATTGTTTATTATAAACAGAGCATTTACTTAAATATTTGTGTCTATATATATATATAAGTAAAATGTTTCTCACTTTGCTGATTGCTGTTACCTTCAGCATCCCGACTCCAAAGTTTCGTAAACGGACCAAACCATTCCACTTGTCAGGGGTATCAGCAAATGACTGCTTATACTTTTCGATATTTCTTTTTTATATGCATTTATCATTAGTACAAGTTTTTTTTTCATAGTGTATGCTGCAAAAGTAGGTATACAGTAAGTATTATACCAGTATTATCAGTATTATAATAAGGGTTCTAGGATTCATTTAATACTAGAAATAATCTAATTCATTAAAATAATTTTTAATATTTTCATAGTTTTTATTATAATACTTTTATTATAATATTTATTTTTTTAATAAATAATAATAAACGTTTTGTAGGCAAAGTGGTAATTTAATAATGGCTTGTAATTTAACAGACAAGGAGCGCAAATGAATTTTGAAAACAGTACTGGGAGACATTATTGATATGTTCGTATAATTAATATAATACGTTTTGTGCGCATGGCTTGTTTTTCATTATTCTATACCTGTTTGCACACACACACACACACACATATATCTTTTTTAAAAAAAGGGGATATCGCAAACGTTTTTGGTTATAACATGGATTTGTTTTAGTGCATATATTATAGTTTATTCAGCATATTTCTGCTACACGAGTTTCCGATCTCGTGACCTTCTTCAGCTAAATAAACGGAATAAGTTTTTAAAGGGATAAATTTTCTTTATGTTCTTTTAATGTTTCATTGTTCGTTTTCTTCATTTGTAGTGAGCCTTCGTCTCATTTCTGGACTGTTGTCAAAAGGGAATTTCTGCCTAAGTGGTAATAAAATCATTAGGTTTGATCTGATTGGTGGTGATGATAGATGTGTTGATGAGAGATGTTTTCCTATCCCTACATTACCCTTGAGACTGTCAAATCTATTTCCATTTTTGTGTGATCTTGTATGCGTGCGTGTCCCCGTTAGCTTGCATATGTATATGTATATCCCCTCTCCATATATACATGTTGATGACACATTTTGCCGCTTTGAAAATATAACGGAGGCAAAAAATTTTCTTTTCATTACTTAATGGGATGCATCCGGCATTAAGGTATACTATGGAAATTGAGACTAATTACACTATATCTTTTTGGGATGTTTTGTTAACTAAAACACCATCTGTTAAATTTATCGTAAACCAACCTTCACCGGACTATACATTCGATGGGATGCATTCTGCCCTAACAAACGCAAAGAAAATCTAATTAGTACCCTTAGACATAGAGCTTTAATGATCTGCTCAGAATCTAAAATAGATGAAGAGCTAAAAACAATTGCGAAAGCTCTAGCTAATAATGGGTACCCTTTGAATGTTATTAAGTCGGTCATGAATAAGAAAATCTCAAATTTTTCTAAACCTAAACCAAGTACAGCTTCTAAATGACCTGTATATTTGCGTTTGCCCTGGTTGGGTTCAATAAGTAGTAAATTTGCCAAACAGATTAGCTCAACAGTTAAAAATTGCTATTTTTCTGCCAATGTGCGTGTTGTTTTCTCTTCCATGTCTCCTTGGGCATCTGCTCGAAAGAACGTTCTATCTCCTCACCATATTAAAAATGTGATTTACTAATTTGGGTGTAGTTGCGGAGCCGACTACATATGTAGAACTACATTACAGTTAGACGCACGAATAAATCAACACGTACCCGGAAAAATTAGGAATGGTACGTTCCAATCTGGTGATAAGATCAACAACACATACGGCTCTGCCATCGGTGAGCACCTTATAAATAATTCAAGCTGTACCACCAATTTCAGCATTGACTCTTTCTCCATGCTTAGTCATGCTCATTCTTTATAACATTTGAAGGCATTGGAAACGATCTATGCCAGGTTCAGACAGCTCTCCCTCTGTAAACAGAGTGAATGTCTGCTAGGGCTTGACATTATTTCCATCTGATTGTTCTACCTTTATTTCATCACATGTTTCTCATGTTTTGTATTTTATATTGTAATATTTAGTCTTCTTTTGATTTCAGCTCTGTTGAGTGAGGGCGAAACAGATCGGCTGGTCAATTTTTTTAAAATCATGGATGGTAAAACTCGTCTTGCAGTTTTTATTTCCATAGTAAAATTCTGTACCCCTAAGAAAATAATGATTTGATATATATGTAAAGAGGTGGTGTAATGGTTAGCCAAGCTTGTCTCGCTAGAACAATTACGACTTACTAGTGAGTTCGATCCTCACTGGGTGCCCCCTACTTTTGGCTTTGTACCATATTTACGCTACGCTTGGAAAATCACTATGTGTGTCTGTGAGTTTTTAATATGCATTTCTCTTGTTTTCGAAAGTTTCTGTTAGAATGTTGATATCTAATTCTCTAAGATATTTTGCTTTGTTAGTTTATGTACCGGTGACTGTCTAAGCTTTCTCATAAACCAGTGATAGTGGGTTCGAAACTCGCTTAGTCTCTTGCAACTCATAAAGCAATCTTGGTGAAACCGTATAAATCTTTATATTGTTGTCTCCGTACGAATGCATGTTTTGGCTTATTTTTCTCCCAGTCATTTCTTTCTTTCTATTTTCTTTCGTACACCCCCTCATTCCCCGCCGGACTCACTCAAAGTTTGCTTGTAGTTGTGTACAATGCATTGGCTGCAAGATGGACGCGGAATCCGAGCAGTGCATTGTTGGTCGTTGCCACTTGTGGTGGCTGTCAGCTGCAGGCGAGCAGTTTGCATTGGGAATAATCACTCAAGCGTGAATGAGGTGGTGGCGGTGGCTGAGAAAAAAAAAAGGAAAGAAAAGAGGGTGATAAAATAATGAGAAAAAAAGAATGACAAGAGGTGAAAATAGAATAAGAAAAAGAGAAACTAACAAAGAAACAAAATAAAAACAGAACAGTGAGAAGAAAGAAAATTTGAGATAAAATAACAGAAGAAAGAAAGAAAGAAAGAAAGAAAGAAAAGAGGGCGATAAAATAATGGAAGAAAAGAGGGAAGAAGAATGAATATATAGTGAAAGAAAGATTAGAAAAAAAAGAAACATAAGAGGTGAAAATAGAATAAGAAAGAAATAAACTAACAAACAAAAGGAAAACAGAATAGTGAGAAGAAATTAAATGTGGAAATAAAATGAAAGAAAGAAAGAAAGAAAGATGTAAATAACAAAAAAATTAATAAAACAAAGAAAGAACGTCGAAAAAGAGACTGAAAATAAAAAAGAACAAAGAATAGTTAAAGAAAGGGACTAATAAATGATGAAGAAAAACTGACAATAGGGGGAAAAAAGAAACGAAAGAACGAAAAGATTAGAAATAAAAAGAGGAAAATTTAAGGGAATAAGTGTCTGAAGAAGGAATCAAAGAAAGGAATCGAAGACAGTTTTATCGTCCCGATCCACTTTCCAAAATCAGAATTTCCACTGCCAAACATCGGAATTTGTGAAGAGGCGGGAGTAAAAAAAAAAAAATTTAAAAACAATGCACCAAAAGTGTTGCGTTAAGGGATGAATATGTGAAATAAGTATGTATGTTTCATGGCGCCAGGTCAATTTTCTTAGTCGGTCCGAAAACTTTTCAGCATTCCTAATAAATAAAAAAGAAACTAAATGAAAAAATAAGAGGTAAAAATGAGAAGCGAAGAAAAAAGACGTTCTACATTTCAAGGATTAAATAGTTAAGTTTGGTTTTGACTCAAGGCGTACCCAATGAGGATCGGCAGCAATAGTAATGATCTGCTAGACTAATTTATCCGACAATGACCCACGGCAAAACGCTCATATTACGCAATAAACAATCGCGTGAAAAACTACGTACAGACAAGAGAAACAAAAAAAAAACATTTTTAATAAGAAACTTTTTTAAAAAAAAAAAAAATAACTTTACAATTATGTCTAGAAAACTATGGCTTCCGGTAGGATTTGGAAAACAAGCTCGCCAAGACAATACTGAAATGAATATCGCTGTGTTACATTTTGTACATTTTTCTGACTCTTTTACTTTAGATATTAATGCTTAAGTTTTCACTTTAACTAGTTTATTGTTCAAATATGGCTGCTTATTTTTTTTTTTTAATAGTGTATTTCCATGTTTCAGTTTTAATTTAAAAATAACACGAGGGAATTGCTATGATAAATCGAAAACGCAAGAAACAATGTGAGAGAACTATACAGAAAAACAATCAATAGCTGAAGACAATAGAAATATGGCTTAATTTTCGGATAGCGTACTTCATTTGAAATTCATTAATCTATTTATAATCCTTTAAAAAAGCTTAAGTCCTTTCTAAAATGATGAAAATTTCTCACTTAGGCATCAGGAGTCGTGGGAATAGAAAAGGGAAACATAGAATGCAAAACTCATTGATTCTTGCACAATAGAATGCCCTGAAAATAACCAGTGAAAATTAATTCTCCTTACCCTAAATTTATTGAAAGGCAACGTTTAAATTGTCTCGGAGAAATAATTAGCAACCACTGGACTACTTACTTGCTACTCTTTGCAAATGTAACTGCATTTCGTAATCGCAGAAAATTATTGATTGTATCCCAAGGAATGGTTCTATAATTTAAGCCCATAAGACATTCTGTCTCCGTTCTTGTGAGAATAAAGATAAGAAGACATAACCCTGCAGCGGGATTGGATTTTAGAAAGGCGACAAAATAAGAGTCCTGTTCGCAATATATTTCTCAGTTCGTAAGCAAATGATGTTTGGTTCCTGCTAGTACTGGGCATCAACACACACACACACACGCACACACACACGCACACACACACACACACGCACACACACACACACACACAAAGAGATAGAGAGAGAGGAGAGAAAAAAATAAAGAGAGAAGGAGAGAGAAAGAGCAAGAGAAAACAGTAGGAACTATGGACATAGAAATCAATTGATAGTTTCACGCCTTAAGCAACCATCAGGCTATGTTACTCATTAAACAACCTGATAAACACTGAACATTTTAAACAATATATATATATATATATATATATATATATATATATGCGTGTTAAGTGAAAAAAAAACGGAGAAAAAGAAACAGATTTAAAGGAGAAGAAATAAGCAGATACACATGAAAAGAAAAACGCAACAAATTACTCGGCACTTATTTCGATTAACCGCGTTACTTAGAACAAATACTTCACTACTTATGTAAATGTAAAAAAAAAGTCTAAGTTGGCAATAATATGTGACAGATAACTATAAAAAGATATTGTTGATTACTTACGGCAAAATTGTGTAAATAATGCACTCACTATTATTGGCGTCGTGTGGCAATGATTGTAAGTAAAATGAAGCACTAAAATAAGTAACCAGGTAATCGTTTTAAGTTCTCTGAATGTCGGTGCCCAAAAAAAGTACTTCTCTCTATACCAAAATAAAATATGATTTTAAGAGAAATGGTCCCACCAACACAGTCATACAGACACACACACGCTCGCACGTACACACAGTTTATTTTATTTGATTTCAAATAAGCATAATTCTTTGGAATTTCTTTTTTTTCTTTCATAATCATACAATAAAGCGAAAAACGTTAGTCGATGATAACAGCGGTTTATGAAAACATATTTATATATGTATGCTCGTAATAAATGATCATATATATTAAAAGAAAAAAAACAATGATTTATAACCCAACGGACACCAACGACTCTAATATATATATATATATATATATATATATATATATATATATATACATACATACATACATACATACATACATACAAACATAAAACAAAAAAACACTTTCTGCTTTCTACATTCGAGCCGTTGGTTCTGATAAGGTAATTTAATTTATTGCTTCCCCCCATCTTATCCTCAAGGAGCCCAAGGCATTTTCCTTACACACAGCTTTGTCTTTCATTCTGACCTAAACAAGCCGAGTGTAATGACAAAAGTACACTGGTATAGGCTTTAAGAAAGCTTTATTCAACTGAGAATACAAAGTTGGCGTATCGTGTCCACTTATAGTCCCACTAAACAGAAATAGCTCTCTCAAATAGGAAAGTAATGAAACTAGGGACGACTACTCTTGATTATTCATAACACCGAGATCAACAAACGTCGGTAAAGCCTATAGTTTATTAAATTTTTCTATTTTATCTCATCATCTCCACTTTTGTTTCGGATACGATTATACATCCTACAAATACACACAGTTATTTTATCTACACCAAAGTAAATAGTGAATGGAATAATGTATAAATATTAGTACGTATGGACTGGGAAATACGCACGCACATACATCATACATACGTTATGATGGCGAAATGTTCTCTGTCTGATCAAGAAGCGCTTCCAATACATGCATATATATATATATATATATATTTAATTGAAATTAAAATAACTGATCCAACGTGCAACTCTCGGATAATAAGTGTGACATTACTGTAATTATTGAACAATATAGTTCATGCCATATTCACGGAAAATCTACCAGTAAAAAAGAATTCTCTTATTACTATATTTGTACAAAAACGCACAACCTTAAAATTTAAAATTCAAACTCAGCGTTGCGACCGCACGTTCCAAAACAATAACACATTTCTCATAGCATTTTTTCGGATTACATCTCTATTTTCATTGTCCTCTTATTACTGAGAAGTACAAACAAGAACAAAATCTACTTCCATACCTGATGATGTCTGTAGGAACAGACGAAAGCCTGTAAAAAAATTAAAAAGACCTTATGCAACTGGAATTTATGAACAGGGATCATATCATTCATATACAGGTTCGGTGTTGATGTATCTTATTATATTGTTTGCGACGAAGTATTCTCGCCATTTAATTCATTAACCTTTATATTTGTTTTTTGTATGAATGATTCATGAATATATATATATATATATATATATATATATATATATATATATATATATATATATATATATCGTAATCCGTATGGAAATCCCAAAAGGGATATAAATCCAGAGAGCTCAATGTCAAAAACAGAGTAAATAATAATTATTGTAATAGTGAAAACGAACACTTAAAATATTATCGTGATATTTATTTCATTAGAATCGAAGATCTGAAGAGTTGGGATCGAATCTTCAATTCTAATGAAATAAATATCACGATAATTTTAAGTGTTCGTTTTCACTATTATATATATATATATATATATATATATATATATATATATATAATAAAGTTTAGTTCATGCCATTCAAAAAACAAAAGAAACTGTCAAGCAGAATAATTTTAGATGATAATGTTTTTAAGGTAAGTAGTTTTTGTAATTATAGTGCCTGATATCAAGAGATAGAGCGTCAATAGTAATAAATATTATGTGTTAGAAAAATGTTTTGAGATCTTTAAGGATAAGTGGCTATCCTACAATACCAAAAGACTCTAATATAGAAATAGATAAAAACAAACAAGCACAGAGGCAAACAGACTCTTTTCAAGTTTCAAGTCGTGAAGTGATAAACTAGGGTAATTAACTTGATTTACGATACCTACTAATCCTCAGAGATTCCAAGACATTTTTATAACACATAGTTTTGTCTTTCTTTTAGTCATACTAATGATGCCAAAGAGAGCATAGGCTTTCTCCGGCGAAACGCGTCCTTGATAAATATTTTCCATTTTGTCTCATCAGCTTCAGTTTGGTTCCATCCTACAAACACACAGAGAAATAGAATAGAACTTATTAGTAGGATTTGAGATAATCATAATGAAGTAATTCATCGAGTCTAGAAGAAACCTCAAAAGAATGCAGAAAGCACTGGACGGCCATTCGTCCTATATTTGGGACTCATCCACTACCGAGAATTGAAACCCGGACAGTTACGATGAGGCAAACGTCATACCAACTGTACCAACGAGCCTCGGCGGTAACGAATTAGACTCGATATAGCGCCGCTCTTCACAAATTCTGTGGTTTAACTCATCCGAGTTTCCTTTAACCATAGGACTGTGCCCTCCACGAGCCACGACTTCTGTCCCCAAGCCGCTCCATCCATAGCATTTGAAGCTGGCTCAAGCAAGGGTATACAAGTCATAGAAATTATTAGGAGGATTTGAGATAATCATATATATATATATATATGTGTGTGTGTGTGTGTGTGTGTGTGTGTGTGTGTGTGTGTGTGTGTTGGTGCGGAGACAGAGAAATGCGCAGTTAAACCACTGGGAGAGAAAGGCCCCTTAATCCTTGTTAGGACATCACTCTAGGCAAATGAAAATTCTGATTTAAAACCTGCGATCCCATCAGAATGTGATATATAGTAAACCGTGTAACCGTAC